CCCCAAAACCCCAAAACCCCAAAACCCCAAAACCCCAGACATTCCTTGGATGGACAAATAAAATAAAATAAAAATGTCTGATTTTATGCCCACTGAGAATGACCTGATTATGAACCCTATTACTGGGAAGATGAATATTGGCAAGAATGTCGATAGTTACGAAGGTAAATTTCCTCTAAACCCACACATACATCCCTTAAAATCCCCTAAAAATGCCTTCTTCGCATCAAATCTTCCTCCTAAAAGTCAAAATCCCTTATTTACAAGCTTTCTCTTTGTGTAACGCTACTTTTAGAATTCATCAACTCGCACAAAGGCAAGTCCGCCTTCACCAAAGATGATGTGTTTTATAACAGACTTAGCAATTATGCCAAAGAGGCTATGAAGAAGGGGAATAAGATACTCAACTGTAGGCCTATCGCCTAATTTCTAGTCTCCCAGACACCTGATTCTGGAACCCTCCTCTCGTTTAATAGGAGTGAAGATCGAGCTCCCAAGGGTAAGAAGAAGATATTCTTGGGCGGAAGGATTATTGACAATAATTACAATTTCCACCCTGAACAGGATAGTGACAGGCTCGCCTGCTTCGACACCATGGGACAGTACGATAGCTCAGATAGAAAGGGGAAAGCTAATAATTTTAAGAATTTTATTAAAAGATTGAAGGAAAATAAGCCAAAGAAGCAACTGATCCAAGTCGATAAGGATGATTTCACCAGTGGACACGGAACCCTTAAGAATAATGATATTCAAGGATCTTCCCCAGCAAAATTTCAGAGAGGAAGGAAGTTGTTTGTGGATAGAAACTCTATAAAGACTGTTCTTGGACAATCTCCAGGAAAGTAAGCCCCTCTAAACAAACTTTAGATATCATGGATTTGCTCATGATTATACTCAAGGCGGTACATATGCCTCTGATGTAAACCAAAACATTATCATCTCAGATTTCAGCAATTACTCAAAGAAATAAAGTGGCTAGTAATAAAGCTCTCTCAGTACTATAGATTTAAACTATGATGTAAAAGACAAAGAGGAAGGATCTTTCCCGCATATTCTCACTAGAAGCAGTAAATTTGTTCCAAAACCTATAGATCTCAGCTCAGAATATCTCTTAAATAGGAGCCTTAACACGGGGAAATTTCCCAATGAAAATGAAGTTTACTCAAATTTAAGCAGCAAAAATAGGATGCATCCTCAGCTTAGTGTAATATTTCAAGAGAAATTTTGTATAGATTAATAATGGAGGATTCAGATATGGAAGAGAGAAAAGAGACATGCATCTCAGCAAAAGTAATAATGAGTTTAACCCTCTAGGTCTTGCTACAAATGATAGACACATCTCCATGGCTAATGCTGAGAATAAATAAGCTCTCTAAAGATCTTGACCAGGGTGCCTATTCTCAGGATAGACTACAAAGTAAGCACAAGGTGTAACTTTAGACCACTTCGCATCTAGAAATGCTAGTAAAACAGATGGAGAGGGGTATCAGTACCCAACAATGGAAAGACAAGGGAAGAACCAAATTAGTAAATCCCCAGGTTATTTCAATAGACTTAGCACAAAGATCTGAGGTGTTGAGAACAGGGCCTGATAGAAACGGATATAATTATAGTAACGAGAGAAGCTTCGATGATAGAGGACAGAAGAGCTACCACAATTTAAAGCAAAACTTAGATAATAGCGCCAGCAGTATGTCCTTTATTTAGGTCTTTCCGGACATTTTAGCTAAATTTTGGTATAGACCATAGAGTAGGAGGAAAGAAGTTGTTTAGTCAGAACTTAAAAAATCTGAACTATATCGATTACTTGAAACAATTCAAATAAAGTTATTTTCAACTATAATTTTATCTGCAGGGGTTTTGGGGTTTTGGGGTTTTGGGGTTTTGGGG